AAAAATTTGGACCTTTACAGTGATTTTATTTTCTGCATCAGACACATATTACATGTCTGATGCAGAAAATAAATGAAAGACTCTATAAATTTTAAATAAAAAGAGTAAAATTGCCGAATATTTTGTTTTATTTTACAATTAAAACAGAGAAATGATACGCCACTGACCCAGAGAATGTGTTTACCTTCCCCCTTGTGCCCGCTACCTCAGTTCTATAGATATTGAGAACACAACAATCGCCAAAAAAACGCGTTCTAAAGTATTTTTGCTCGGGAGTACATTCGGTATGAGTTTTGACATTGACGTTTTGGTGAAAATTATAAGTTCAGATCAGTTGTTTTTATGGGTAATTCTTTATCTGAATATTTTGATGAAATACAAGGTACTAAAATCTTTACAGTTTACTTTATGGACAGGCGAATTTTAAATTATTTTTTGTTCGATTAGAAAGTACATATGAAAATTAAAAAAAAAAGCGGATTACCCACGTTTAAGTAAGAAATTTAATGTTAAAATTCAAAAATTGTACATTTTTAAACAAATTTTACACATTTGTACAGTGTTGCCAAGTATTTTGACATGTGAGGGAATATATATCTAATTTTTAAACTCATTGTAAATTATTAAACATTTAGGATTTATCATTTATTTAAATGAATAATTAGGACAAAGTAAACAACAAAACATATACAAACAAAATCCAATTAATATTATTCTGATATAAAGTTTCATTTTTTAATCTGTTTTTGGCGCTTTTTCCATATATTTCCTTCCACATAAAAGTCAATATATCCTGGCAAAAATTTAGAATTAATAAATAATTTGTTGTAAGCATTATCAATAGTTCGTACAGACACCTGACTCAGGATCTCGAAAATATGGTTTATTGGTCATTTCAGATCCTGAATGATCAATGTGGCGGATTATTGGTATCAAAATTGTTTGTTTTCTGTTTTTTACATAGGTAACATAACATTTTTTTGCGGATTCGTCAATAAGGTGTATCCATTTCCTCTAAAAAGAAACATACTCTTGTATTATATTATACATATACACTGCTCCAAGAAATTAACATACCACTTAATATTTTAAGATAAATATTGCCATTTTAAACAAACTCTTCAATATTTTATCAAATTTTTAAAGACCCTAGTATATTTATTTTAACAAACCACGTTTCTATTTGTGCCGTTTTTGTTTTGTTGTGAAACTTTTTTCTGAAGTCTTAACATTTCTTATAATATAAATTTACTTTCAAGACCGTGGTTTATTTTTGCCCATTAGAGTTTAACTTTTTGAACGATTCGATAGCCTTCTATATGCATCGCATTTCCAGAAATTTGTCGCCTGCTGAATGTACCCAAGCCATTGTATTGCACGAAGAATGTTTGAGCTATCGCCAAATAGGTGACAGATTTAGTATGTCCCATCAGTTTCACAGTAGAAGCGCTGGACAAGGGAGAAATCGCATCACGACTCCCGGCCAAGATCGTTTTTAAGACTTTCCGCTCTAAGACAAAGATTTGTAACAAGATTGTTGCAATATCTGCTTCAGAACGCACATGTCATTCAAGTAACTTTGGAAACCATTCAACAACGACTTCGGGAAGGTGATGTGCATTCTTGCATTGCTGCCCGAGGGCCAGTGTTAACCGCGGATCACCGTAAGAGCTCGGTTAAACTGCCAGAGAGCACGTCAGCTGGGAGGAAGCTGGCTGAGAACGAGTTCTTTGAACAGATGAGTCCAGATTTTATCTGCATACGTGCGATAGATGAGATCGTATTTGGACTATGCTTATTTAAAAAGAACCAAGCGCAAAATTCGAGTTTTCAGATATTAAAGGTTAAAGATGATAATGCTGTATTAAAATAATGAGTGTAAAAAACTCCAGCTTTGTGAACTATTGTCAGATAGGCACAATTTTATAAGTTTAATAAGCTAACTAGAAACATGAGTTTGAAGATATTTTTGGCGGATGGTTCTTGTTATTCAAATTAGGAATGTATGTTTCCTAATGTGTCGTTTGATTCATCGGCCAAAATATCGCACTAGAGTAGAGCTATAATTTGATCTTTTTATACAAGGTAAATTAAACCTTCCTCAGTCACTTGATGTCTTTTAACTCATTTTTGCCAATTTGTCGCTTTGTTCCTTTTGGATAAACATAATCTATTTTTGGAAGGCCGAATTAATGCACAGTGTAACATAGTAAATATGAATCACTTTATTTGGTAAAGGCTCAGTCATCGTGTGGGGAGGAATTTCGGACTTGGTGGTGTTTAATAATGACAATATTAAAGCGGAACGCTACATATTGAACATTATTCAGGAACATATTGTGCCATTGCCCCTTATATGGGTGAATTTTTTTTGCTAATGCAAGATAATGCTCGAGTAGTTCCAGATTATCTTTTGAAAGTTGACAATGAAACTATTGCTTGGCCAGCACGAAGTCCCGACCTGAATCCAATAGAGCATGTCTGGGATATGCTCGAAAGACAATTACGTGCTCAACTGAACCGAACTTAACAACTTGTGGAGTTCTGTTTGAAATTTTGAATGAACTAGATCAAAACAGCATCGTCGTGGCTAGGACATAATTAGAAGTAGAGGTGGAAATACCTGATATAAAATATGATTTTATATATTTTTAAAAAAATGAAATTCCGAATTTTGCTTTCTTTTTATTTTTCAAATTTGGTATGCTTAATTTTAGAAATACATTTTTCATCTTACATCAAAAATTTAATAATTTTATATTTTGTTAGTGTTTCGTCCGTATTAGGATATATAATCTTTTGCATGCTAAACTCGTTTATAATTCCACAGAGGACTGTATTCCATGTATTTACTAGCCGCTGGCTTTGGATTAAAAGATCGAAGATAGACAAATAAACATTTTAGTAATAATACTGTTTATTTTTATGTAACACAAACAGAACACTACATTGTTGGTTAGATATTTACACTATGTACATTTTTTACCCAGAAGATTTATTTGATCGCCATTGAAGCGTGGGTTAAAAACGTAATTGTCGATTTGACTTTGATAAAGGTTGAGACGAGTTTGAGAGGCTACGTGCCGCTGTCCAGAAACCGTTAAGGAACCATTTCGGTAGGCGCGACAGACGACCGCCGACGCGACAGAGGACAACAGACGCGACCGAGAAGTGTCTCTTCACGTCTGAATTATATACAATTATATGAAACACATTTCGCACGGCGCGACACAAGAAGTGTCGTCAAGACGACACTTTGGATCTGTCTCCGGGCAAAGCGTTTGCTGCATTTCGCACTCGAGGTCACTGTCCTCAGGCATCGCTTGTATTTGGAGGTGAATAGGTTGGACATTTCTTTCGATCTAGGCAGTGTTGTCAGATGCTGGAACAGTATGGGTGAAAAAAAAAACCGTAGATCTGAACAGTAGATTTTAATACAGGGGGAAATAATTATAATTTGCAGTGTAGTAAATAAAATTACAAGTATATAATAAACGAAAAATAAACTTTTTTCTACCCAAATTAGAAAGTAAACAAAGAATAAAAACAAATAACATTTTTAATATATACTTACTGTACGGAAACAAAAAAAATACAATGAAAAATAATAGGTACCTATTTCTTTTAGATCAGTCTGAATCAGATAATTCAAAATCGTAGTGTTTGGCATATGCATATTCTTTTTATGATGCCCTATTAGTTCTTTGTTTCATTTTTAATAAAAACATAACCAACCTACAGTAGTGGATGCTTATTAGGCTGCTTCTACTGCAGAAAATTTACTGGAGAAAATATTCTTTAACCATTTGCTGAAGAATATTTACTAGAGAAAATATTCTTTAACCATTTGCTGAAGAATGAGGCAAACTTAATAAATTAAGAACAAAATTTGCCACCCGTCTCCAAGCTTCTCAGATGTACGGAGCCTACCATTTATGCATCTGTCGTTCTTGGGGTCACCACGGTGGTCTCCTGACACGCCTACCGAAATGGTACCTTTAGGGCCGCGCATTCATTTCTCGCATACATATTACCAAATGTCTTTATTATTACTAATCATTATTATCGATTTTGAATTCGTGCCTTTCTATTGGATAATAACCGCGTTAGTTATTTGTATTTTATTGAATTTGAAAACCTTGTCCTAAATTGATTCTTAAGTAAATTCAACAGAGACGGCCTTGAATTATTCTTTGATTCTAATATTTGAAATATGTTAAAGGTATTTTTAACAGTTAGTACTCTGCTAATTCGGCATTGTGCAATGAATACCATTAAGACTATTCACTTCCATATTTTTGATTATCAATGAAACACAATAAATGATTCAAGACAAAATGTTTATAGGCATACACAAATATTTTAACAAAATGTTTTAGAATAAAATAAATGAAAATCTAGTTTAGTTTTTAAATATTTGCGGGTAACAGTAGCAGAAATAATCACAAGTACTGAAGTAATCTTGACAACGCCGCTTAGTATCAAGAAAATAAATGTCAACTAATCAAACTTTTATTTTTCAGAAGTGTTTAAATAAAATATATAATTATTGATATATGCTTTTTTTCAGTAATCCCGCTCCTGATTTAAATTCATAATTAGTATTATTTAAATCAAAAGACAAAGTAAATTTGACCAAATTTAGTGTATCCGTAAAGTCGACCACAACCGTGGTTTATCAGTAAATAAATAAAAGGTTTAGATTAGTATCCGATGATTTTCGTTGATTTTTATAATACAATTCATAAAATCCGGGCCGAGATTTAACTATTTTGACTCCAAATGTACCCAGTTTAGGTACATTTGATGTCAAAAATCGTATATCCAAACCCTCCCAAATTGGTTCTTAATCTAAATATTTCAATTGAATGGGCATTAATACGTTAATTAAAAAAAATTGTAGGCAGAATAAGTATCGAGTCTGTGTTATGAACTTACATAACAAAACATGCACACCGCTTTACTTTATAAAATCTGTAATGAAATATTTTATTTTGTAGAGAAACTTAAAGAAAATGCTGTGGTAAATAAGAGACCATTGTCTCAATCAGAGCCAGAAGGAGCTGCTGCGAAAAAAATACGACTAGACGAAAAAACTGAGAAAGGTAATTTTTTTGAACTGTTTTTCATCATTGTAATTAATAACTGATCTGTAATTAATAACACTGGATATATGATAAATATATATTGAATACACAAAAAATTGTGCCATTTAGAAAACCGGAAGTACATTGAAATTTGAAAAAAAAAAGGTTTCGATTCATATGTAAAGACGCTAAAAAACTGATCGAGTGGTAAACTACAGATTATAAGGAATTTCGGGGAATTGCTGAGGAATTTAGGTCTGCGGTTTACCCCTTAAATTTGATTTTAGTATATTGATTATAGATAAAATTTAAACGGTATTAAGAAAATACTGCAATGAATTTAAGTTGTAAACAAATTAATGATTTCTTATTAGATATAAGAAATTATTAGTTTGCTTATATAGATTTAAGTATTGATTTATATAGATTATCAAACATAATTTTTCGTTTGGTTATTGTAACGTTTGTTTTAACGAATTTTTGATTAATATTTGAAAAGAATCAATTTAATATTAATTAATTTGTTTTAAAAGTTTGTATTATATTTTTTGTTTGATTTTTATAAATCAAATAGTTTCTAAGACGTTTTTTAAATTTTTAAACGACTTCAAAAAAGGAGGAGGTTCTCAATTCGTCGGAATATTTTTTTATGTATGTTCAGCGATAATTCTCTGCTACGTTGTCCGGTTTTTATTTTTTTTTAGAAAGGGAGTATCTCAGTGATGGTCACATATAAATTTGGTCAAAATTTCATAATGGGGTGCATGAGAAAATCATCATTTTTTATGTATTTTTTTGCGATAATTCTTTACCACGCCGTCCGATTTCTACGATTACCCTCAGTGGTAATTACATATATAATTGGTCAGGGTCTGATGATCTACAAGAAAATAAAAAATCTCAATTTTTAAGGGCATCTGCACGTTTTTGAAGTCGGTTTTTGTTTTAATAACTTTTATAACTTTGCATTGCTGTACAGCATTAAAAGTATCACAAGTTCTCAAACATAGCTCTACAAATTAATTAATTTTTTTATTAAATACTATTTAATATACCAATTTTAAAATCAGAGCATAAACTAGCCGACAATATAGGGAAGTTAAAAGTTGAAATAAATATATGAAGTTAATAAAAACAGATAAAACAAAAACTTTATTTATCTTAATCCAACAAAATATAAAGACGGGCAGTCAGGGCTTGCATAAGACCGCCCTTACTACTTTTATATCTATCCTTTTCAAGGTCGGTCACTTTTTATCACTACTTCTCTGCTGAGAATCATATGGTAAAGAGTACTTCCCTCGCCGAGTATAATGCTTTCGGATAAAGAGTATGTACATCACGATGCGCCAACGACTTGGTAATTTGTAATGGCGGGAAAACACGCTACGGTCTACTGGAGAGGCATACATGTGGAATAGACATGTGTAGTTATTTGAACCTGCTACGTACATGTGCTCGACTTGCGCAGGCCATCTGCACAGGTAGAGCTCTCCGGTTTGCTAAAGGCCAATTCTGACTGTAGTTCAGGTCACGCTTCGCTCACGCTCCACTCAAGGCGCGATACAATATTGTGACACGCCATTTAAAAGAAAATATTCAAATTTGGCGTTTCGCTCACGGTACGCTAATGATATTTGAACGGCGGTCTTTCTCTTTGCCGATATTTTGAACCTTTGGGTCAGTGTGTACCTACAAGCAACAATTAAACGGCGTTTGTTTTTCTAATTGAAATAGTTCGAAATACCAAAGAATTATATAACCTGGGTGACAAGTTAGACTTTGACATGGCTTTCAAAAGTTGAAGATGGAAGGAAATGTGCGCCAGTAATAATGTGAATACTACCTCAAATCCTTGATTGGGAGCGTAGTGTGATCTGAACGCCTAGTGAGAATGGATCTTAAATTACAGTGACGTGAATTGATGGATCTCTGTACATGATTCAAGTAGATAGTACTACATATTTTGGTTTGACCACTGGCTTATCTCAAACAGCCTTTACAGATGCCCTGGCTTATGACATACATTCTCTTCTCTATTGAAAATGTGGACAAAGGATAAAATAAGGTTAAAATTAAAAATAAACTAAATGCAATGGCGGCAGAATATAGATATCAGTACAGATTTAGGTAAAAAAATTCAGTGTTTTAGAAAGGTATATTATAAACACTGTATTGTTATTGTGAACCCCAATATTATGACCATAAGCTGCCACTGACTAAATCATTAGTTCATTTTGCTACAAATACAAATTCAGGAATTTCCATTTTCTCTTACCCACTAGGCGTGTCATAAGATAAAGTTATAAACTTCGAAACCAGACGCATAAAAAATACATATCTTTGTGAGATTCAAAAAGACCTTTTTCTTCTCTACTTCTTCATTTAACCAACCCACACATGGCTACCCCAGATGGTATAAAGGTTTGGAAAGATAGTTATTTAAAGTCAACAATAAATAATATAAAAATAAAACGTTATTCTTTCAATGTAACCAATAATGGATCAAGAACTTTTTTTTTTCGCTGTCCTGACATTTTTGTTATCGGCTTTAAAGCTCATGAGCTCCAAACTATTTAGATTTCTTCAACTACCTATAATAAAAAAAAAACAAATTGTAAAAGAGACCTTATAAAAGTTTTTATTGCTTACTTTAATCATGAAAAATATCACAAACTTATTTTTATGTATGTAAATTAATCTAGTTAACAACAGAAACTATGCAAATAGGTTAAACGTAATTTAACATTTTTTGATTTGTTTACGTCCAATTCAACATATAACTACAAGTTTTTTTGGTACGTATTTTATGTTCAGTGTACTATAATTACAGATCAGTAAAAATACATATATCCACTATCAAAATGATTCAACAAAAACGTTCTTTTTTATCTTTTACGAAATTGCCACACGATGATTTTCTAGATACTATTATATAAAAATCATTACTATTCATATAGCAGTTAACAAATAATTACTAAATTGGTAATAAATATATTTTTTTACTTATGATTTTGTTTTTATAAATTAAAAAGAAATTATTAATAACCCTATAACAATATTTTTTAAGGGTCATTACTTAGTGCATCTAGATCGTAAATAAATAATTTTGTTTTTGTTGATACATTTTAATATGTATTGGTAAATGGTTTAAATGTATTTAAACGCTTCATAAGGAGTAAATTTGTATGTTTTCTCAGAGAAAATTAAAAAACCAGAAGAAAAGAAAAAGTCCATTTCTACGAAGAACGAAAAGGTAAAAACTTTGATAAACTTTGAACAATTCATGAAAAAACGGAGTTTAGGCGAAGGAAAATTGACCAGATCAGATCTAGAACAATTTTGTTTACAAAAAATATGCGAAGCTATCATGCACAAAACGGAAGTAGGAGAATTGCACCAAACTATTAAAAAGCAAGAAACCATTATAGAAAATCTTAGAAAAGATCTTGCACAATTAACTAAGCAAACTAGAGATTTAGATATTGTAAATAGAAAACTCATGAATGAAATGAAAGCACAACATGTTAATCAGAAGCCTTTGGTACCGCTTAAAATTACTAGATCTGTGGGACTCCAAGTTAAATTGAATCTTGGTACAGAAACGGTGACTAGAAGGAAATCATACACAACCAATACTCCAAGGACGCCTAACACTCCTACCACTCCTAATAATGTAATAAATAGAGTTAGAGCTGCACCTCCAGGAAGTAATGTAGTTCGGCAGGTGGCAACGGTAAGTCTATTATTCTAAATAACTAAAAAATAACTCCTACTCAGTGTTTTTCTTAAAATCGTCCCTAAGTTTTGTTTTAATTAAATTCCATTGTGTTGGTATTATTAATAATTATTAAAGAGCAGTAAAATTATAAATAAAAAAAAAATAGTATATACATACAGGGGTGAATCCTAAGTTTATACTTAACTTTAAATAATGTGTTGAAAGTTGTCGGAAATTATTGATTCCATTTCGGGTGTGTATTGACTCGTCCGTAGTTAGAACTTTCGTTGAAAAATTCTGCTCACAGTCATGCCACTTTAAGAACCATTTACAAAACTTAACTATGCAGGGGGAAATCTTCAAGTTGAGAGTGAAAAGGATACACTTGATTTTCCGGCAATGCTGTCCATACTTTTCTTTGTCTTATTCCAACCTGATCTGCAATCACTCTTCATACTTATTGGATCTTCCTCAATAACATTTAAAATGTGTTCTTATAAACGCTCTTCATGTCTTCTTGATCTTCCTACGTGTCCTCCACGATCTTCCCTCAAATCACTAGTATCCATAACCCATTGTGCCAGATCAGTGAAAGTTCTAGGACTAAGATGGACTCGTAAGGAAAAGCATTCACTGTACAACACAGCTTCAGTAGCTGCCCTTTGAAGACACTAGCCATAAATAAGCAGCATTTCCAAGTGTATTGTCATAATTTATCATACTGAATAATTTTACATCCCTAATTTAAACACGCTACTGAAATCACACGCAACTGAATTACAATAACCGGTACACGATTCATATGCAAGTACAGGCCCGATTTCGATTTTTTAATTCTGTACTTTTTTTATTTTTGAGTTTTTTGATAAAGTTATAAAGTTGTTTATTTTAACGACTTCTACAAGTATACCCAGTTAAAAAATAAGTATTATCTTAAGATTCACCCTATCATATTTTGAATGTTGCTTTAATAATAATTCAGTCAAAGGCGTCCATGTCTGGTTTTTTTATATTTTTAACCACATTTCACTATGTATTTTGTCATCACAGTAAGTTATAATGCAACAAGTACTCAATGATCATTGCAAACGAGATGAAGTATTTCTGTAAATATAATTTGTATCTATTCTAGCCAACATCCACTGCAAATTCCCCTCGCAAAACTCCTGGCCAAGCGCCTATCTTAACACAGGCACTACAAACCCGAACAACAGTTCCAGTAGCAAAACCATCACCAACAGCAAAACCATCTCCAACAGCAAAACCATCGCCAACCGTCAACAATAAACGGCCTGTTTCAATAAGGCCCAAATCAGGTGCAGAAACTGCCAAACCTGCCCAAGCAACCCAACAACAACCAACCCAGCCATCTGCACCAGCCCAACCACCAGCTCCAGGTGTCATCGATCTAACAGACGAGGACGATAAGAGTGCAAAGACTATACCTAACAATACCGTATCGCAAAAGAACATTGGAAACAAACCCAACACTGCCCCTGTGAAGTTATTGAACAAAAACATTATGGTGCAGAATAAGAGCCCCGCCGCAAAGCCCAATAACGCACCAAAGAATGTGGGTAAAGCAACAGGAATGCAAACGAAAGTCGGTATGCAAACAAAAGTCGGTATGCAAGCGAGGGCTATGGCCAATTTACCACAAGGTGTTCGATTGACAACTACTCAAATGAAGAATGGCATAACAATACCGGCTAGTGTCGTTACATCGAACGCCCAAGGAACGACGCAGCTCATGTACGTTGTGCAACCTGGTTCTTTAGTTAATACTACTGCCGGAGGAGGCCAGAAAGCTGTGCTTCTGAATTTCCAACCAACCAATGGAGTATTAAGTAAGTACACATTTTTATATTTCGTTAAAAAAACGAGCAATTAAAAGCATTTAAACGAAAATTTCAGTCCTTATGATTAATATAAAAAAAATAACCTAAATGTTTAATTGTTTCAGCTGCAACATCGTCTTAAAAATAAAATAATAATAGTTAATATAGTTCTATTCGGATGTAAACCTGAAATTATATAATCAACAAACTTATACTAGTTAAAATAAAAAAATTGCATTTATCAATAAGTGTGAATACGTTTTCCTCAGATCACTCCATAAAAGAAATTACAAAATGGTCGAACAAAATAAAATTGAGTTGGAGCCTGGAGGTTCGTCAACGGAAATAATACAATAAACTTTACACCGTTAAAATGAGAAAAACCGACATGCAGCATATCGCGACGGACAGTTTGCAAACTGTTTGTCTGGCGCTCCAAACCCCATCCCAATCATACAAATTAGCAAATGTATGCACACCATAAGGCTAGCGACAAAACGATTGTATTTTTAACCGACTTCAAAAAAGGAAGAGGTTCTCAATTCGTCACGATATTTTTTTTTATGTATGTTCAGCGATAATTCTTCAACGCGGTGTCCGATTTCAATAATTCTTTTTTTGTTAGAAAGAGGGTACTTCAGGGGTGGTCCCATATAAATTTGGTCAAAATATAATCATTGGGTCCGTGAGAAAATCCTTAAACTCTTCATTTTTTATGTATGTTTAGCGATAATGCTTTACCACCTTGTCCGATTTATGATTCTTTTTTTTTTAGTAAGTGGATACCTCAGGGGTGGTCCCATATAAATTTGGTTAAGATGTGACGGCATCTGCACGTTTTTGAAGTCGGTTTTTTTTTTAATTTTTAATTTCTAATACTTGTAAGTAGATACGTTTCAAAAATACTAAACCGTAAATACGACTAGTCATACCTCAACTCGTGGATCATTTAGCATTAGCGAGATACATTTTAGATTAAAAAAGTGATTCCCCTAAATGTCGGCAACACATTATACAATTTTTAAAACTAAGTCGCGTTTCCTTATCATGCTATGGAAATAAATGTCGTTTCGTTTATATTGTCAATTTTTGTAACAAAATATTATTGTATTCGAATATTTTCTCAACTTTACCTACGAATATGTCTGTTAGTAGATTAAATTATGAGCCCTCCTAACTGGGGTTCAATATTAACCACAGTCAAAGGAAAGAATTGCACCGAGCTTCATCAGAACTTGGTTGTACATACCAATTTTCTGAAAAACCCACCTATTGGCCCACCGACCCGACCTTTTGGAATTCTTTATTCTGAGGAAAATTTCACCAAACTATACGCAAGTAGAAGAAAACTTTAATATGGATTCAGACCATTCTGCAGTAATCCTTACTCTAAGTGATAATGTTATTCAAAAAGAAGCCAAACCGACTCTAGCAAATCGGAAAACTAATTGGGAAGGTTTTCAAGAGAACTTAATAAATACTATTCAACTGACCATAACACTAAAAACGAAAAATCAACTAGATGAAGAACTGGAAAGGGTTATAGTTGAAATCCAGCAAGCTGCATGGAGGAACACACCAAAAGTAAGAAGATTAACAGCTGGAAAAAACTATCCTGTCGAGATAAGAGAACCTGTAGCAGAAAAAAGAAAACTAAGAAAGAAATAGCAGATGACAAGATCACCAGAAGATAAAAATATATTAAATAGGGCTACCCAAAGACTGAGAAAAGAAATCCTAAATCACAAAGAAGAATCCTTCAACACATACCTAGTAGGGCTAACAGATGATAAAGAAACTGATTGTTCACTCTGGAAGGCAACTAAAAAGATGAAAAATTCGTGTAAACACTGTCCTCTAATCAGAATAGCAGATAACAAATGGACAAGAGACAATCAACAAAAAGCTGATATTTTCGCTGACCACCTACAAAAGACGTTCCAATTAGATGAAAATCAAGACACTCCTAATGAGACCATCCATAATATGGACAACTTGAAATTAAGCTAGTTACTCACAATGAAGTTATGAAAGAAATTCAGACAAACATCAACTCACAGAAAGCCCCAGGATATGACCTTATTACTGGAAAAATATTAAAGAAACTACCACGGAAGGCTATTGTTAAATTGACATACCTCATTAATGCAGTATTTCGGCTTAAATATATACCTGATACGTGGAAAATGGCTGAAGTTATCCTAATTCCTAAGCCAGGAAAACCTCTGAATGAAGTGTCATCATATAGACCTAAATCATTGTTACCGATAATATCGTAAGTTATTTGAAAAACTACTGCTAAAACAACTAAAACCAATAATTGAAAATAAAAATCTGATCCCTTCGCACCAATTTGGTTTTAGAAACAAACACTCGACCATAGATCAAGTACACAGGATAGCTGATATCATCGAAAAAGCTTATTGTAACGAAAGTCTAATTTATTTAAAGTTTATTTATTTAAAAACACTATTTACAATTTATTTCAGACGTACTATTTAATTTATATAATATTTGAACAATTCTAATTTATTTCTTACACTTTTACTTTTCAATACAACGTTCTATATTAAACTAAAACTTGGCGCTGATCGTCGACTATTTATATAAATCCAACTCCGCTACTGGAAAATGCCAGAGCCTCGCGAAGATTCTAAAACGATGAGTAAACGGCACTCCCCGCCATTCCAGCTGTTTCTAGCCACAGCGGCAGGCATCCCGTACATTCGAGAAGCGGTCCAATTGTTTCCACACGTCAGCGTTGCTTCGATCGCGAGTTGGTTGTCATGTGAAGGCCGCGTGCGTACACAGGCACAGGGTCGGATTAGGAATATCGTAACAATATGAAGAAAAATATATATGCTCAGCTATATTTCTTGACGTAGCCCAAGCATTTGACAAGATTTGGCCTGCTGGCCTAATACAGAAACTTGAAAAAATGCTCCCTAGATAATATGTCGACATTTTACAATCATATCTAACGGGAAGAATGTTTAGAGTAAAGCAAGACGAGGCATACTCCGAAATGAAAGAAATTAAAGCAGGTGTCCCACAAGGCAGTGTGCTAGGACCGGTTCTTTATTTATAAATCAGCGATATCCCTCAGCAACAATCTGTTAAAATAGCAACATTTGCGGATGACACTGCAATATTGGCAGTTGGCGGAACTAATACAGAGACCTCAGAAAAACTTCAGGAAACCTGCAACAGAATCAATCGATGGACAAAAAAGTGGAAAATAAAAACAAATCAAACTAAATCAGTGCATGTTGATTTTATTCTTCGACCAAATGAACAAAAACAAATAAGAATAAACAATGACGTTATTCCGCATCACGATTCGGCCAAATACCTAGGGATGAACCTAGGTGTAAGACTTAAATGGAAAGAGTAGGAAGAAAATCCAAATTGTCAGTGCACAACAAACTGCTGATTTATAAACAAATCCTAAAACCAATCTGGATTTATGGCATACAGCTATGGGGATGTGCCAGCAAGAGTAATATCAACATGATACAAGTTTTCCAAAATAATGCATTGTTGATGCACCTTGGTTCTACCGAAAAGATTATCTTCATAGAGACCTGAAGATGCCAACAATCGAAGAAGAAATAAAGAGGTTTGCTGCGAAACTTGAGGGTCGACTCCACTCCCACGTCAACGAAGAACCGCTGCAATTACTGGACAACTCTACACTCAACAGAAGGCTCAAAAGGAAGAAGCGATTTGAGCTAGTGCAGTGAACGTTAATGTTAGTGCTAGTGTAAAACAGTGTAATAAATCGTCACCCCAACTTGTGATGCTTTCCTATAGAAACAATTAAGACAGCTCAATGGGGACTTCTTAGATAAGTAATTAGTTATAAGACTTTTAGATTAAAATTGTAGCTTAGTCAGTAATGACTAGTAACAATACTCCACTGGAGATTTTAGAAAATGCTCAAGCTGCCACACATAATTTGTTACCGCTAAAATCCAAAGAAAGGTACGAAATTACCTATCGAAAATTTATGGATTGGCGACACAAGCATATGCCCTTTATTTAATAAGACGAAAATAAGTTGGCGTAGAAAAAATATAGTACGTTACACGAGTTGTAAGCCCATTACGCACTCGTAAACTTTTTCACTTCGTGCGTAATGGGTTACTTACAACTCTTGTTACGTAATATACTATTATCACACTTAGAATGAAAACATGGACATTTACAGACTAATGATATTTAGCTGATTCTTAGTAATTAGTTATAATCTACGTGTCCCACATTTTACGGACTTTATTCTGAAATACCCTGTAAATTTGAATCACCCTTGAGTACTACTGGTTCTCAGTTGGTTCCTTCATTTCCCATGGATCGCTGAAAGTTTATTGCGAAAATAATTTGAACAAACGGTTCATGAATGGTTGTATACGCACCTGTATAATGCAATAATAGCACGAAAAATACTTAATGTAAACCTGTAATAACGAATTACACAAATTTGAATTACACAAATTTGCTCTATATCGTAAACGTGACTGTCCAAATTTATTTTATATTAATATCATAAATTCTTGTTTCAGCTTCAACAATAAACGGGTCTACAGTATCTGTAATACCTTCAAAAACTACGAACTCAATGCAATTAAAAACAATGTCTGTGACTAGGAAACATCCCGCGGCGTTACCTCTTCCTCCACCCGTCATGATAAATAACTCATTAAAGAAGCTCCTTCCAAAACCTCATTTAAGCATAAGAAAAACGGACACTGGCATAATATTGCAATGGCGAATGCCTTATAACCTCGATGAATTTGAAGGCATCGCAAGTTATCAGCTATTCGCCTATCAGGAGACAAACGCCCCGCCTAGCACCGATATGTGGAGGAAAGTCGGAGACGTCAAAGCTCTGGCATTGCCGATGGCATGCACCCTAACGCAGTTCGCTGATAAAAACAAGTATTATTTCGCTGTACGGTCTGTAGACGTTCACAAGAGGATAGGTGCGTTCAGTGACCCCGAGGAGATATCCTTGTAAATAAGTTTGACTGTGTATATTTCTGTTGTTAATTTATGTCGGCATATATTGCGTTACTCTTTAGAATAAGAATACAATTTTTTTAATTTATGAATAGAAAATAAATATGATGTATAATTTTGTATTTTTTTACCTCTCTCTTTTGCCTGAAGATGATATAAAAAGGTAAAACAGATCCAGAAAAATACAATTCAGCTTTACCAAAAATTGGCCGTTTATTGACGCAGGTTTGATATGTGTTTTGAAATTTTCTCAAATTAATTGCACCCACGATACACTTACAAATTATTACAACGGTATGTTCTTGCGCATGATAGCTCATATCTTGTAACACGTCACGTGGATTACAAATACGAGACTTCTACATAGATAAATAAAAGTAACGAGATGTTTTAGATAATAAAAACATTACTTCATTGTTAAAGTTGTTGCATAAATATTGCACAAATTTTATATTAATTTGTCTGCAGCACATACTTTGATTTTATTTTACTATACGGAGAATGGTCGCACTGCGCAGCTTTCTGAGTGACTTTTAAAAGGAGATAGAAAACTCCGCCATTTTGAACCCTTATTACGTGTTGCCTACATCTTGGCGCAATATTTTTAATAGGTGCGTTTTAATCGTCCGCTTCTGCTTCGGAATTGTCGGGTTTTCTTAATTTAATCTGACAGGTTAAAACGACTAAACCGACAATTCCAGAAGCGGAAGATTAAAACGTACCTGATATTTTGCTTGCTGCTGTCAGTGTCAGTGAATATTATTTTTGAAGTCACAGTTTATTGCTAAAGAATCAGTTAGCTCACTCGGACCAGTTGAAAGTTCCAAAATAACATCCACTCCAGGGATACAAATTCAGGATACGCAGAAGACTGCTGTTTTATTATAGGCGGTTGTCATATATTGTATTATCCGAGTTGCACAGTGTATAAACTGAAACATTGAGATCCAAAGTGCCGACGCAGAGTGAGCGATCTGATTCTTTAGCTGTAAACTGTGTCACAGGGTTCAAAATGGCCGCGCCCTATGTTGGGCGTGTCGGACCTCTCTCTTGCCTCATATAGTAATCAAAGTATGTGGTCCGCATCATTTTTCTGGCAGTACGCTCTTCCTATGTTGTCAGATTTCTTCCATCAAATATCCTGCATTAAATTTTTATTAAAAAAATTAATATTACCAACAATAAAATTGTTAAAAAAGGAAAATGAATAATTGAAAGCTTCAATATGAGTTTCTTATTCATTACAATCACTTAAGATTTTTATTTATCGTCTTTACATGTGTATCGTATGTGGATATTGAATATTCTGGTTCATAACTTTATAATCTGACATTTCGTTGACGGCGTCAAGTGACAGCTTAAGGTTTATGTTGCTTTTTTGTAGTTTTTTTTTTTATTTTTGAGAATAATTTGAACATTGAACTGTTTAAGTTCATTTAGGGTGGCGAGGAAATATGTAGTGTGCCAAAATATCTAAATAAATAAAACAAAGTCGGGTTAGTTACACCGTTTATAACTCAAAAACAGACCGATTTTAATGATCTCTTATTTATTGGATTTGTCCCCAGCCTGAATAGCAGAATAACTAAAAATATCGGAAAAATGTATACATCTAAACTAAACAAAGTCAGGTTAGTTACAGCATTTAAAACTCGAGAACAGCTAGATCGATGTTTGTGATCTCTTATTTATTGGATTGGTCTCCACCCTGAATAGCAGAATACCTATTAAAATATCGGGAAAATAAGCTGAAAAAAAAAAATTTAAATAAAACAAAGTCGGGTTACTTACACCGTTTATAACTCAAGATCGGCTAGGTCAATTTTAATGATCTCTTATTTATTGCATTCGTCTCTATCCTGAATAGCAAAATAACTATTAAAATATCGGAAAACAATTGTAATTTAAATAAAACAAAGTCGGGTTAGTTACACCGTTTATAACTCAAGAACGGCTAGACCGATTTTAATCATCTCTTATTTATTGGATTCGTTTCCACCCTGAATAGCAGAATAACTATTAAAATAACGGAAAAAAATTATACAGAAATTTAATTTTTAAATAAATTAGGTTTCGAACTCCCCCATCTTCCGTAATTGACAGCTCACGTTACGCACGCCTTAGATAATATAATAGACTTACTCTGAGACGCACGCTCATAGCTTTTCTAGAAATATCACATACTTTGATTTTCTTTTACTATACGGAGAATGGTCGTACTGCGCAGCTTTCTGAGTACCTTTTAAAAGGAGATAGAAAACTCCGCCATTTTGATCCCTTATTACGTGTTGCCTACATCTTGGCGCAATATTTTTAATATTGCATTTTTTTACATATATACCAAAATCATTAATATATTTTGGGATAATATTTCATTGAGAATCTGCCCCTAGTTGTCAATTTGTTAATTTTTTGTAAGACTCGAATTCGCGTCCTCCGCACATTTTTGGGAAATTTTGCATAAAATGCGGAAGGCGCTAATTCGCGTCTCAGTAAAAAGTAAGTATATACACTTTGAAAGTATTAGTCCAACCACAATTTTTTTATGTAGCTAAAAAACATCCTGTTGTCATGGTCAAGTAACAAAAAAACGATTTTTACGGAATATTATTTTTATAAAATAACTTTCTCTTCAAATAAAATAAAATTTAAACATTTTACAGCAAATCGTAAAGACTAATAAACAATGATTTTACTTTTTTTGTGATATTCAACAAAACATGCTCCCATGCATTGTCCGGGGTTATCTGGACAAGAAAGGCAGTGAAACAAAGTATCTTTTCTTATCTTTTTTTTTGTGCAAATGCGACATTTTTTACGCAAAGTGTGACCTTTTTCGTTAGTCTCTGCAATTTTGGTAAACATATGGTCCATGCTTTTTATGTTACTTACTGATTTAGGTTCTGGCAAAAGTTTCTCTAAAACTGAGATTCTGAAATTACCCAGGGTCATTTTTTCCCTATTATACTTATTGTATAGGATACGTGAATTAATCATCATAAGTTGAAACACGTGGATGGCTAGTTTCTTGTAACATCTAAGGGTTTTGCCGGTTACAAATAAAAAGACCAAAACACAACATAAACAGAACGTCAAAATTACAGGTTATGTTTAAAATCTGCAACTCACGAATATAAACAACATATTCTGGAACGGCACTCAGATTTAAGTAAAATAAGTCTTATCGCATGTGCGGAGTGAGATTCGTGCGCTTCCACAAATTGCGGATAATATAGTAAGCATTTAAAATGATCTTTACATATGACGCGATATCGCGCCGTCTGCACTTTACTAACCAACCAGAGGACGCGATATTGCGTTTTCCGCAGTGAAAGGGTTAATCATCCGCTTCTGCTTCGGAATTGTCGGTTTTCTTGTTTTAATCTGACAGGTTAAAACGACTAAACCGACAATTCCCATAATTAAAGATCAAAATTGCAGATATAAGAGTCTTACATATATAGGAGCTCCTAGTGAAAAGGTATCGTCATATTTAAAAAACCAAAATATTAACGTAGCTTTTAAAACCAATAATACGCTTGGGAAGTATATTAAAAACAATAAGGGTAAAATTAATCCTAATAAACAATCGGGGGTATATAAATTAAATTGTGGTAGTTGTCCAAAACTGTATATTGGGCAAACAGGCCGTACTTTCAAAAAGCGCTATTCCGAACATTATAATAGCCATACAAAAAACAAAAATAATTCTACTTACTCAAATCATATTTTAGCTGAAAATCATTCTTTTACAGACAACTTTGAAATTTTACATATAGAAAATAAGGGCAATAAACTAAACCATTTAGAAACACTTGAAATAAATAGATTTAAAAATTCAGATAACCTACTCAATGATCAATTAGATATTAATAACTCACCCTTATTAAATCTCTTTCCTAGTTTTGATATCATAATTATCTAAGTACCCTTATTTACTTTAAATAGTTTATTTTGTGTATGTTATTGATGTTTTCTTAAGTACTTTGTTTTGTTAAATTATTTCGCATATATATTGGATACCGAATTGTAAATTAGTCACATTTGAAAAAGAAGTTGTACTTCGAAACATGTCATGTGTGTTTTTAATTTTTATTTTTTTAAAATAAAAGTTATGTGAAAATCTACCAAATTTGGTTTTACTCATTCAAGTTGTATATTCTGTCAAAAATAATATTTCACTTTCAGTAAAACTCGGCAGCAAAAATGCACCGCAAAGTTCTGGCATCTTTTCCTTTAAAGATAATTTTTTTTACAGCGTCATAACTGTTCACTATCTTAGGACTGTATGCTTATTACTCTTATTACGAGTAGTATTATTAGTACCAGGTATACGAGCCCCTTCCCATTTCAGTTGGCCCAACTATTGAAATTTAGGAAATTCGTATTTAAAGATTAAAAATATAAATATTGCATGAACTTTCCAATTTTTATTCATTGTACAATATGTTTAAGGACAGCGTCTCCTAGGAATTTCTGAACAAAATTATGTCAATTTAGATTCAATCAAGGAGGTGCTGTTACCTACCGACTAGAGATTGAATTAGTGCAAACTATTACAGAAATCTTTAAGTAACTATAAATATCGACCGACTAGCTATTAGGGGATATTGTATTATAAACCGGTTTTTAGTAGACTGAGTTCGAAGGATCATAATAATAGTCCTGTACATAAAATCTATTTTTCAATAATTGCCGGGATTTTACCAAATAAAAAAAAAATATTTCGCGATTGTGAAAACGGTCCAATCGTTTCATATGCCATTTATAATATTATAAAAATGTTAACTCTAGGACTCATTTTGGAGTATGAGAATACTTTATTTCAATACTTTTATTCATAAAGTATTACCTACCTATTACATTTTATTTTTAACGAAAATCGACTTTGTTTCCTGGACCAAAGTAAAGAATGTAGGTAGGTATTATGCAGATGGCAACAACAAAAACGATATCTTGCCTCACATTAAATATAAATATTTCCTAAAACAAATAATTTGGTTTATATACGGGTAGCAATACGAGGGATGTTTATAATTTCAAGTCACGAATATAGAGTCGTTTCAAAATATATTGCCACAATAATTACGTCACATTGAGTCGGAGTGGGACGCT